CCGCGAGTCGCCCCAGGGCTGAGAGCGGCGGTCAACAAATGCAGTAAATAAATAAATAAATAAATAAATAGAGAGCACATAAGTGTAAAGGGAGGTGGTTTCTCAGTAATAAATGTGCTACCTTCTGCTATATATGAAACAAAGGGCATAAAACCTTGATTAAATGTGCACACTATCTAACATGGGAAGTGTCATTGTTGTTAGTGTCTTGGCAAATTGACCAAGGTTTAACCCTTATCATCCAGTTTGGGGTCCTTGTCCTTAGCAAAACTATAAGTTACTATCTTTTATAAGTCATGTTCGACTTCACTGATAGATATTGTACTTGGCACTTATATCCCAACTATCTCTACTGTGTTTCCAAACAGCCAAGAACGGATTTTTCCTCAGCCTTGGGTTTGCTGCTAGCCTCTGCTGTAGTCTGGCTGACATACAAAACACCCCTTATAGATAGTGTACTTGGCACTTATATCCCAACTATCTCCACTGTGTTTCCCAAACAGCCAAGAACGGATTTTTCCTCAGCCTTGGGTTTGCTGCTAGCCTCTGCTGTAATCTGGCTGACATACAAAACACCCCTTATAGATAGTGTACTTGGCACTTATATCCCAACTATCTCTACTATGTTTCCCAAACAGCCAAGAATGGATTTTTCCTCAGCCTTGGGTTCACTGCTAGCCTCTGCTGTAATCTGGCTGACATACACACCCCTTATAGATAGTGTACTTGGCACTTATATCCCAACTAACTCTATTGTGTTTCTCAAACAACCAAGAACGGATTTTTCCTCAGCCTTGGGTTCGCTGCTAGCCTCTGCTGTAATCTGGCTGACATACAACACACCCCTTATAGATAGTGTACTTGGCACTTATATTAAAATGATAAAAGGTCTGGAGAACAAGCCCTATGAGGAGCGGCTTAAGGAGCTGGGCATGTTTAGCCTGAAGAAGAGAAGGCTGAGAGGAGATATGATAGCCATGTATAAATATGTGAGAGGAAGGCACAGGGAGGAGGAGGGAGCAAGCTTGTTTTCTGCTTCCCTGGAGACTAGGACGCGGAACAATGGCTTCAAACTACAAGAGAGGAGATTCCATCTGAACATGAGGAAGAACTTCCTGACTGTGAGAGCCGTTCAGCAGTGGAACTCTCTGCCCCGGAGTGTGGTGGAAACTCCTTCTTTGGAAGCCTTTAAACAGAGGCTGGATGGCCATCTGTCAGGGGTGATTTGAATGCAATATTCCTGCTTCTTGGCAGAATGGGGGTGGACTGGATGGCCCATGAGGTCTCTTCCAACTCTTTGATTCTTTGATTCTATATCCCAACTATCTCTACTGTGTTTCCCAAACAGTCAAGAACGGATTTTTCCTCAGCCTTGGGTTCGCTGGTAGCCTCTGCTGTAATCTGGCTGACATACAACACACCCCTTATCTCAAGCCTCACCCATATTATAGCCAGGCTATAATTACCACATTTTGGCCAGGCTCCACCCCATCTTTCTAACCCCACCCACTTTCATACAAGCCCCGCCCCTTGCTCCAAGCCCCACCCACATTCCACAGTCTGGCTCCGTCCCTTGGTTCTAGATTCTGCCACTTCGGAATTTGGTTGTCCCAAAGGACGGAAGAACACATCAACTCTTGCTGTTATGATTCCGAATTAGCCTGAATTAATCTCACAGTCTTTGGAATTGTTTCCTCCCCTTCCTTCCTTCCTTCCTTCCTTCCTTCCTTCCTTCCTTCCTTCCTTCCTTCCTTCTTCTTAGCCTTCCCATCCCCATGCTCGTTCAGTAGCCCTGTGTCCCGGGGACGATGGGCCAAGACCTTTCCAATGGGACGTACGAGCCGGTGAAGAAAGAGATCAAGAAGCCCAAGCTGCCCAACTCCTGTGAGTCCTCTGGAGCATGGGAGTTGTAGTCCGAGGAAGTGGCACTTCTGCTCCCCAAATATACAATATTCCACCTTCTCTTTGCAGGCCTGAAGCATGCGCTCGGGGCCATCTTGCCGGGCTTCTGCGTGACTTACCTCTGGAGCCAAGCGGACGAATTCCGGGCCACCAAGTTTTTCCTAGGAGCCAGCATCGGGTGCCTGTTTGCCATAGGTCAGGACTGCCTTTTTGCACAGAACATAGGCCTTGGGTGCGTCTACACTGTGGAATTGATGCAGATCAATAGGCTTTTCAACAGGCAGCAGCATCCCATAGCTCCTATCGCAACACTTCCTTTCCAGGTTTTCGTCACCAATGGAAATCATATGTATCATTGATCAATATATTTATATCAATATATTCATTACCAATATATCCATTACCAATGGAAATGATATATAACATTGGTCAATATAGATATATCAATATATTCGTTACCAATGGAAATGACATATATCATTGGTCAATATAGATATATCAATATATTCGTTACCAATGTATCATGGGTCAATATAGATATATGTCAATATATTCCTTCCCAATGGAAATTATATATATCATTGGTCAATATAGATATATCAATATATTCGTTACCAATGTATCATGGGTCAATATAGATATATGTCAATATATTCCTTCCCAATGGAAATTATATATATTATTGGTCAATATAGATATATCAATATATTCGTTACCAATGGAAATGACATATATCATTGGTCAATATATATATCAATATATTTGTTACCAATGTATCATGGGTCAATATAGATATATGTCAATATATTCCTTCCCAATGGAAATTATATATATCATTGGTCAATATAGATATATCAATATATTCGTTACCAATGTATCATGGGTCAATATAGATATATGTCAATATATTCCTTCCCAATGGAAATTATATATATTATTGGTCAATATAGATATATCAATATATTCGTTACCAATGGAAATGACATATATCATTGGTCAATATATATATCAATATATTTGTTACCAATGTATCATGGGTCAATATATATATGTCACTATATTCGTTACCAATGGAAATAACATATATCATTGGTCAATATAGATATATCAATATATTCGTTACCAATGTATCATGGGTCAATATAGATATATGTCAATATATTCCTTCCCAATGGAAATTATATATATCATTGGTCAATATAGATATATCAATATATTTATTACCAATGGAAATGACATATATCATTGGTCAATATATATATGAATATCTCAATATATATATGAATATCTCAATATATTCATTACCAATGGAAATGATATGTATCATTGGTGTGTGTGTGTGTGTGTGTGTGTGTGTGTATATATATATTCATTACCAATGGAAATAATATATATCATTGGTATATATATATATATATATATATCTCAATAGATCCATTATCAATGGAAATGATATGTATCATTAGTCTATATATATATATATATATATATATATATATATATATATATATATCACCAATGGAAATGGTATATATCATTTGAATACACACACACACACATATATATCGTAGTTACCAATGGAAATGATATATATCATTGGCATATATATATATATATATATATATATATATATATATATAAGCAATGGAAATGACATATATTGATATATATATATCAATATATTCATCACCAATGGAAATGATATATATCACTGGTCAATATATATATGTCAATGTATTCATCACCAATGGAAATAATATATATCATCAATCAATTAATATATTCATCGCCAATGGAAATGATATTTATGGATTATGGTTGGGTCATGGAACCTTTGGTTTGAGTTATGGTTGGGTTATGGAGCATTATTTTTATTAGTGTTATGGGTCTCCACCTTGCCTCCTAGGCCTGTCCTACCTCCTGATTTTCCCCATGTCCATCACCGAGGAGAACAAGATTGACCTGATGAGCACCATGGCAGGTGAGTGAGCACCCTTGTAAAGATTCCCCTCCTCTGCCATTCTGCCAAGCCATTTCCACATCACGACCCCTCCGTCGTCTCCGTTGGCAGGTGTGGCCGCCTTTGGGTGGGCCACCTCCCCACACTTCCGCTGCGCCTCCCTCCTGGTGGTCCCCAAGTTCATCGGCAAGGAAGGGCGCATCTACGTCCTCACCTACGTCTTCATGGCCATCTACATCGGTAACACGCCAAGGGGGGTGGGTACTTCCAACAAGTCCAGTTGAGACTGCTTGGAAGTCTGGTGGAGTCTCATTCCTACTCCAGAGGCCTTGAAGTAGTGGCTGGATGGTCATCTGTTGGGAGGGATTGAATTGTGTCTACGGCAGAAGAGGTCTGGACTGGATGGCCCTCTTCCAGGGTCTCTTACACCTCCAGGAAGTTGTATATCTATCTATGGGTACTTCCTTGTTTCCAGGCCCTGTGGCCAACATCCGGCACAACCTGAACGAAGTGGTGCGCTCCATCAGCTGCACGGTGGAGCTGCAGATCGCCAACGCCAAGCGCTCCTGGAAGGTCTCCACTGCGCCCTTGCGCAAGATTCTGAAGGACATGGTGGTGAGTGAGGAAGGAAGGAAGGAAGGAAGGAAGGAGAAGGAGAAGGAGAAGAAGGAGGGAGGGAGAAAGAGAGTGACAGAGGAAGGAAGGAAGGAGGAGGGAGGGAAGGAAGAGAGAGGGAAAGGGAGGGAGAATGAGAAAGAGAGAGAGGAAGGAAGGAAGGAGAATGAGAGGGAGAAAGAGGAAGGAAGGAAGGAAGGAAGGAAGGAGAAGGAGAAGAAGGAGAAAGGAAGAGGAGAAGGAGGAGGGAGAAGAGAAAGAGATGAGAGAGAAGGAAGGAAGGAAGGAAGAAGGAGGAAGGAAGGAAGAAGGAAGGAAGGAGGAAGAAAGGAGGGAGAAGGAGAAGGAGGGAGAAAGAGAAAGAGAAAAGAAAGAAAAGGAGGAAGGAAGGAAGGAAGAAGAAAAGAAGGAGGAAGGAAGGAAGAAGGAAGGAAGGAAGGAAGGAGGAAGGGAGAAGGAAAAGGGGAAAAAGGAAAGGAAGGAAGGAAGGGACAGAAGGAAAGAGAAGGAAAAAGAAAGAAAAGGAGGGAGGGAGGAAGGAAGAAGGAAAGAAGGAGAAGGAGAGGGAGGGAGAAAAAGAGAGAGGAAGAAAGAGAAAGAGAGAAGAAGGAAGGAAGGAACAAAGGGACAGAAGGAAGGAGAAGGAAAAGGAGGGAGGGAAGGAGAAAGAAGGAAAAAAACAGAAGACGGACATAATGAGGGGGGAGAGAGGAAGAAAGGAGGGTGGAAGAGGAAGAAGCAAGGAAGAAGGAAGGGGAAGGAAGGAGGAGAAATAGATCAGAAGGGAATAAGGAAGGGGGAGAGAGGAAGGAAAGAAGGAGGGAAGAAGGAAGGTGAAGAAGGAGGAAAGAAGAGAAAGACCAATGAAGGAAGGAAGGAAGGAGATGGAGGATGGGAAGAAGAAGGTAGGAAGGAAAGAGAAGGAAGAGAAAGAGAGAAGAAGAAAATAAGGAAAGTAGAGAGAGAAAGAAGAAGGAAGGAAACAGGAAAGAAAGAAGGATGGAGAAAAAGAAGGAGGAAAGGATGGAGGAGAAGGAAGAGGAAAAGAGAGAGGAAGGAAGGAGGGAGGAAGGGATGGAGGAGACGGAAGGGAGAAGAAAGGGAAGGAAGGAAGGAAAGAGAAGAGAAAGAGGAGGAGAAGGAAGGAAGGAAGGAAGGAAGGAAGGAAGGAAGGAAGGAAGGAAGGAAGGAAGGAAGGAAGGAAGGGAAGGAATGGTGGGTAGTGGGCCTTGGTGGAGAGAAGGTCCAAGGACCCCCTCTTGTCTCCTTGCCCTGGTGACCCTTGACTTTCTGCCCCAGAGGAGCGGCAAGACTCTTCGGACCGAAACCCAGGAGGTCTCCAAGTCCTTCTCCAAGCTGAATGACCAAGTGGCCAGCAAAGCCGGGTATGATGAGCGCTCCATGCGGGCCAAAGGGCGGAAGGGGAAGCCCTCCACACAAGAGGCCTACGAGGCCAAGACAGAGAAGCGCTGCTCCCGTGAGTGTGCAAAAAGGGGTCCCCAGAGGCCATCTAGTCCATCCTGCCCAATTCAGGATCTCTAGTAAGACCCAAGAGTCATAGAAGGGTCTCCCAGAGGCCATCTAGTCCATTCTACTCAGTGAAGGATCTCCTCTAAGACCTAAGAGTCATAGAAGAGTCTCCAAGAGGTCATCTAGTCCATCCTGCCCAATTCAGGATCTCTAGTAAGACCCAAGAGTCATAGAAGGGTCTCCCAGAGGCCATCTAGTCCATACTACTCAATGCAGGATCTCTAGTAAGACCCTAGATCATAGAAGGGTCTCCCAGAGGCCATCTAGTCCATCCCGCCCAATTCAGGATCTCTAGTAAGACTCAAGAGTCATAGAAGGGTCTCCCACAGGCCATCTAGTCCATTCTACTCAATGCAGGATCTCTAGTAAGACCCAAGAGTCATAGGAGGGTCTCCCAGAGGCCATCTAGTCCATCCTACCTAATTCAGGATCTCTAGTAAGACCCTAGCATCATAGAAGGGTCACCCAGAGGCCATCTAGTCCATTCTACTCAATGCAGGATCTCTTCTAAGACCTTGGGTCATAGAAGGGTCTCCCAGAGGCCATCTAGTCCATCCTGCCCAATTCAGGATCTCTAGTAAGACCCAAGAGTCATAGAAGGGGCTCCAAGAAGCCATCTAGTCCATTCTGCCCAATTCAGGATCTCTGGTAAGACCCAAGAGTCATAGAATGGTCTCCCAGAGGCCATATAGTCCATTCTACTCAGTGAAGGATCTCGTCTAAGACCCAAGAGTCATAGAAGGGTCTCCCAGAGGCCATCTAGTCCATTCTGCCCAATTCAGGTTCTATAGTAAGACCCGAGTCACAGAAGGGTCTCCCAGAGGCTATCTAGTCCATCCTGGCCAATTCAGGATCTCTAGTAAGACCCAAGAGTCATAGAAGGGTCTCCCAGAGGCCATCTAGTCCATACTACTAGAGATGCAGGATCTCTTGTAAAACCCTAGAGTCATAGAAGGGTCTCCTAGAGGCCATCTAGTCCATCCTGCTCAATTCAGGATCTCTAGTAAGTCCCTAGAGTCATAGAAGGGTCTCCCAGAGGTCATCTAGTCCATTCTGGCCAGTGCAGGGCCTCCAGCAAGACCCTATAGTCATTGAAAGCCACTCTGTGAAGTCCAGACCTAAGTGCCAGCTTTCCTCCTAGACATCATTGACAAGTCCATTGTCCGCTGCCAGGCCTGGTTCTCGACCAAGTACCGCGACTGCCTCCGCACCATTGTTGTCCCTCTGGTCAGCCACTTGCTCTGCATCCCCATGAAGTTCAGCATCCTCTGCCATTTCGCCCGTGGTGAGTTTCCTCCTAAAACTACGACAGACATCAAATGGATTATTATTATTATTATTATTATTATTATTATTATATTATTATTATTATTATTATTATTATTATTATTATTATTTCAGACACACCTCGCTTGGCGGTCATTGTACGCATGATATTTGATGTTGCATTGCATCTTCTTCTCCCTCCCCAGTCATGTACACTTGGTGTCGGGACAAGATCCCCGTGGAAGGAAACTTTGGCCAGACCTACGACCGGGTCAACGGCTCCGTGGACAACCTGAACCAGGACTTCACGGCCACTTTGGTCTACAAGGTGTGGACATTGGTTGTAAACAATTGATCTATCTGTTTGTTGTATTTGTTTATTCGATTGGTTCTCTAGGACAGCCCCACGTAAGCGGCATCATGAAGAGCGGGTCGCTTTGGGGGTTTTTAGAGGTAGAGAAAGCATTTGACAACCTATCCTGTCCGCTTATGCTCATTGTCATAGTGAAGATGAATACATTTAAGACAATAATACAATGCACACATTATGTCCTTCTCCTTCTCCATCCCCTTCCTCCCCCCCACTTCCCTCTTCTCTTTCCTCTCTTCTTCCCTTTTCTCTTTTCCCTCCACTTCCCTCTTCCCCTCTCATTCCCCTTCTCCTCCCCTTTTCTCTTCCCTTCCTTTTCCTTTTCCCCTTCCTTTCCTTCCTCTACTCTTCCTTCCCTTTCTTCTTCCCCTTCCCTTTCTCATTCCTTTTCCCCTTCCTCCTTTCCTCCCCTTCCTCTTTCCCTCTTTTTCCTTTCCCCTTCTCTTCTTCTCTTCTCTTTCCTCTTCTCCTTCCCTTTTTCTTTTTCCCTTCCTCTCCCTTCTCTCCTCTTCCCTTCCTCCTGCCCTCTCCTTACCTTTCTTTTCCCCTTCCTTTCTCTTCCTCCTCCTCCTTTCCCTTCCTTTCCTCTTTCCCCTTCCTGTTCCCCTTCCTCTTTCCTCCCCTTCCTCTTCCCCTCTTTTTACTTTTCCTTTTCCTCTTCCCTTTCCTTTCCTCTTTCTCCTTCCCTTTCTTCCCTTTTCCTTTCCCTCTTCCCCTTTCCATTCCTCTTCCTTTCTTTTCCCCTTCCCTCCCTTTTCTCTTCCTTCCTCTTCCCTTCTCATCCTCTTCCCTTCTTCCTTCCCTTCCTTTTCTTTCCCTTCCCTCTTTCTTTTCCTTCCTCTTTCCTTTCCTCTACCTCTTCCTCTCTCTCCCTTCTTCTTCCTCTTCCTCTTCCCCTTTTCCCTTCCCCTCCCCGTCCCTTTCCAGGAAGAAGAGCAGTCCATGCTGATGGGGGCCAACCTGACGGCCCACAAGCACCTGGCGGACGACGTGAATGAGGAGCTGGCCGAGCACAGCAAGCGCCTGGCCTCCGCCATGTCCATCTTCCGCGTCCTGCTCTCCGCCACCTTCATCATCATCTTCGCCTCGTGAGTCGGAAACGGGGGCCCCAGGGCTGGATCTCAGGGCCAGGCCCCCTTTCCATGAAGACCCCAAAAAGGCACCGTCCCAGTCCACCCAATCTTGGAAGCTAAGCAGGGTCAGCCTTGGTTGGTGACCTTGACGGGTGACCATCAACGACCAGGCTGTATTTCAGAGGGAAGGGATAGGCAAATGCACCCTTGAGGAAAGGAAAGGGATGGGAAGAGGAAGTGGAAAAGGAAAGGCGAAGAGGAAAGGGAAGGGAAGGGAGAGAGGAAGGGGAAAGGTAAAAAGAAGACAAAAGAAGGGGAAGATGAAAGGGATGAAGGGGAAGGGAAAAAGGAAGAGGAAAGGGAATGGGAAGAGGAAGTGGAAAAAGAAAGGCGAAGAGAAAGAGGAAAGGGAAGGGAGAGAGGAAAGGGAAAGGGGAAAAGAAGACAATAGAAGGGGAAGAGGAAAGGAATGAAGGGGAATGGGAAAAGGAAAAGGAAAGGGAAGGAGAATGGGAAGAGGAGGTGGAAAATAAAAGGCAAAGAGGAAGGGGAAGAGGAAAGGGAAGGGAGAGATGAAGGAGAAGGGAAAAAGGAAGAGGAAAGTGAAGGAGAATGGGAAGAGGAAGTGGAAAAGGAAAGGTGAAGAGGAAGGGGAGAGGAAAGGGAAGGGAGAGAGGAAGGGGAAGAGGAAAGGAATGAAGGGGAAAAAGGAAGAGGAAAGAGAAGGAGAATGGGAAGAGGAAGTGGAAAAGGAAAGGCAAAGAGGAAGGGGAAGATGAAAGGGAAGGGAGAGAGGAAGCAGAAGGGGGGGGGAAATTACAAAAGAAGGGGAAGAGGAAAGGGATGAAGGGGAAGGGAAAAAGGAAGGGGAAGGGGAAGGAGAATGGGAAGAGGAAGTGGAAAAGGAAAGGGGAATGGAAAGAGGAAAGGGAAGACAAAGGGGAAGAGGGGAGAAGAAGGGAGAGAGGAAGAGGAAAGGGAAAAGGAAGACAAAAGATGAGGAAGTCAAAAAGAAAGGGGAAAAGGAAAGGGAAGAGGAAAGGGAAGACAAAAAGGAAGCGGAAAAGGAAGGCCTCTATGAAACTTTCTTTGTTTCCCCTCATTTCCAGGGCCTTTTCCTACACAAACAGCTACAACCAGGACATCCGCTTTGACAATATCTACATCTCCAGATATTTCCGGCTGATTGACGCTCGCCGTCGCAAGCAGGTATTCCCCGCCGGGTTGCAGCTCCCATCAGGCCGAGAAGGGTGGGAGTTGTAGTCCCGGGGGAAAGGCCCAATCCTCTCTTTGGCTTTTCCCAGTGTTTGTTTTTGTCTGTTGTGTTCCAGAACAAGCGCACCTTGCTGCCTTTGCGCCGAGCCGAGCAAAGCAGTGTCGTGGATCCGCTCCATCTCTCTTTCCAGTCGGCGGAAACCAAGACCGTGGTGAGTGGTCCGCACCGGGGGTTTGATGCGCTTTGAGACCTCTTTTGGTGCAAGGCCATGGAAGAAGGAGGGAAGGAGGAAGAGAAGAAGAAGAGAAGAATGAGGAGAAAGATAAGGGTGAGAAGGAGAAGGAGGAGAAAGAAGAAAGATAAGGGTGAGAAGGAGAAGAAGGAGGTGGAGAAGGAAGAGAAGAAGGAAAAGAAGGAGGAGGAGAAAGATAAGGGTGAGAAGGAGAAGGAGGAGAAAGAAGAAAGATAAGGGTGAGAAGGAGAGGAGGAGGTGGAGAAGAAGGAAGAGAAGAAGGAAAAGAAGGAGGAGAAGAAAGATAAGGGTGAGAAGGAGAAGAAGGAAGAGAAGAAGGAAAAGAAGGAGGAGGAGAAAGATAAGGGTGAGAAGGAGAAGGAGGAGAAAGAAGAAAGATAAGGGTGAGAAGGAGAAGGAGGAGGTGGAGAAGAAGGAAGAGAAGAAGGAAAAGAAGGAGGAGAAGAAAGATAAGGGTGAGAAGGAGAAGAAGGAGGTGGAGAAGGAAGAGAAGAAGGAAAATAAGGAGGAGGAGAAAGATAAGGGTTAGAAGGAGAAGGAAGAAAGATAAGAGTGAGAAGGAGAAGAAGGAGGTGGAGAAGGAAGAGAAGAAGGAAAAGAAGGAGGAGGAGAAAGATAAGGGTGAGAAGGAGAAGGAGGAGAAAGAAGAAAGATAAGGGTGAGAAGGAGAAGGAGGAGGTGGAGAAGAAGGAAGAGAAGAAGGAAAAGAAGGAGGAGGAGAAAGATAAGGGTGAAAAGAAGAAGGAGGTGGAGAAAAAGGAAGAGAAGAAGGAAAAGAAGGAGGAGAAAGATAAGGGTGAGAAGGAGAAGGAAGAAAGATAAGGGTGAGAAGGAGGAGGAGGAGGTGGAGAAGAAGGAAGAGAAGAAGGAAAAGAAGGAGGAGAAAGATAAGGGTTAGAATGAGAAGGAGGAAGGGAAGAATGAGGAGAAGGAGAATAAGAAGGAAGAGGAGAGGATGAAGGAAAATGAGAAAGGGAAGAATGGGAATAAGGAGGAGGAGACGAATGAAAAGGAGGATAAGAGTGAGAAGGTGAAGAAGAGAAGAAGAAGGAGAAAGAGGAGGAGGAGGAGAAGGAGGAGGAGGAAGAGAATAATGAGAAGAGTGAAAGGTGTAGAAAGAGAAGAAGAAAAAGAAGGATGAGAAAGAAAGAAGAATAAGGGTGAGAAAGAGAAGGAGGAGGAGGAAGGGAAGAATGAGAAAGAGAACAAGAAGGAGAATAATAAGATGGAAGAGGAGAAGAAGGAGAAAGAGGAGGAGAATAATGAGAAGAGTGAAAGGTGGAGAAAGAGAAGAAGAAAGAGAAGGAGGGGAAAGAAAGAAGAAGAGAAGGATGAGAAGGAGAAGGAGAGGAAGAAAGAGAAGAATGAGAATGAGAAGAATAATGAAAAGGAGGAGAAGAAGAAGAAGGAGAAGAAGAATAATGAACATGAGGAGAAGAGTGAGGTGAAGAAAACAAAAAGAGGAGGAGAAGAAAGAAGAGAAAAGGTAAGAAGAATTAGAAGAAGAAAAATGAGAAGGAAGAGTAGGAGAAGAACAATGAGGAGGAGAAGAAGAATGTGAGGAGAAGGAGAAGAAGAATAATGAGCATGAGGAGAAGAGTGAGGTGAAAAAAACAAGTAGAAGAGGAGGAGGAGGAGAAAGAAGAGAAAGGGTAAGAAGAATTAGAAGGAGAAAAATGAGAAGGAAGAGAAGGAGAAGAACAATGAGGGAAGAAGAAGAATGAGGGGATCATTTGTCATACATTCTACAATCTACAATCTAGAAAGAATCCCATCTCTTTGGCAAACAGCTTAAATGGCCCTGCCATTAATTAATTGATTGTTTGTTTATTAATTAATGCTAATGAATGGTAATTCTTTCCCCAGATGGGCGAATTGCTGGGCTGCATGCCGGCCTTGCTCTTCCTGATGATCACCTGCTCCCTGGACTACCTGCTCTACACCATTTTCAGCACCATCCGGCACCACTCCTTCGTGGAGTACTCCTTCCGCAGTACGTCCCCCGGAAACTACACATCCCACCCTTCCCTTTCCCTTTCAACACAACAGGAGGGGTCCTTCCTCTCTTTGTTCCTACAGCCTCCATTGGGTTGGATACGAAATTTGCTTCCTGGCAGAATGCAAAGCCTTGCTTAGGAACTGTAAATAAGAATAAAATAATAACAATAATAATAGTAGCAATAATAATAATAATAATAATAATAATAATAATAATAATAATATCAGGATATAATATAATAATATTAATAGAAAGCCAGGATATAATAATAATAATAATAATAATAATAATAATAATAATAATAATAATAATAATAGAAAGCAGGATATAATAACAATATACAATAACAATAATAAAAATATAATAACAATAATACAAAGTCAGGCTATAATAATAATAATAATAATAATAATAATAATAATAATATCAGGATATAATATAATAATATTAATAGAAAGCCAGGATATAATAATAATAATAATAATAATAATAATAATAATAATAATAGAAAGCAGGATATAATAACAATATACAATAACAATAATAAAAATATAATAACAATAATACAAAGTCAGGCTATAATAATAATAATAATAATAATAATAATAATAATAATATCAGGATATAATATAATAATATTAATAGAAAGCGATATAATAATAATAATAATAATAATAATAATAATAATAATAATAGAAAAGAGGATAATAATAACAATATACAATAACAATAATAAAAATATAATAACAATAATACAAAGTCAGGCTATAATAATAATAATAATAATAATAATAATAATAATAATATCAGGATATAATATAATAATATTAATAGAAAGCCAGGATATAATAATAATAATAATAATAATAATAATAATAATAATAATAGAAAGCAGGATATAATAACAATATACAATAACAATAATAAAAATATAATAACAATAATACAAAGTCAGGCTATAATAATAATAATAATAATAATAATAATAATAATAATAATATCAGGATATAATATAATAATATTAATAGAAAGCCAGGATATAATAATAATAATAATAATAATAATAATAATAATAATAATAATAATAGAAAGCAGGATATAATAACAATATACAATAACAATAATAAAAATATAATAACAATAATACAAAGTCAGGCTATAATAATAATAATAATAATAATAATAATAATAATAATATCAGGATATAATATAATAATATTAATAGAAAGCCAGGATATAATAATAATAATAATAATAATAATAATAATAATAATAATAATAATATCAGGATATAATATAATAATATTAATAGAAAGCCAGGATATAATAAATAATAATAATAATAATAATAATAATAATAATAATAGAAAGCAGGATATAATAACAATATACAATAACAATAATAAAAATATAATAACAATAATACAAAGTCAGGCTATAATAATAATAATAATAATAATAATAATATCAGGATATAATATAATAATATTAATAGAAAGCCAGGATATAATAATAATAATAATAATAATAATAATAATAATAATAATAGAAAGCAGGATATAATAACAATATACAATAACAATAATAAAAATATAATAACAATAATACAAAGTCAGGCTATAATAATAATAATAATAATAATAATAATAATAATAATATCAGGATATAATATAATAATATTAATATAAAGCCAAGATATAATAATAATAATAATAATAATAATAATAATATAATAGAAAGCAGGATATAAAAACAATATACAATAACAATAATAAAAATATAATAACTAAGAAAATCAGGCTATAATAATAATAATATAATATAAAATATTTATTATTATAGATTTATTATTATTTTAGTTACTATATATTATTACATTATTATTATATATTTATTATTGTAGTTATATGTTTGTTATTATATTTATTATTAAATTCTTATGATTATTACATTTTATTACATTTATTATTAAATATTTATTATTATTATTATTATTATTATTATTATTATTATTATTATGTATCCATAGGCAGCCACCACTTGGAGGTCATCGTCGGTGGGAAAGGCATAATGGCGCGACTCCTCCGGAGCACTATCGGTGCACTGAACACTTCCTCCGAGACGGTGATGGAGGCCAACAACCTGGGTACGTTGGTCAGGTGAGGTCACCTGTGCTATAGGTGAGGTTACCTGTGCCATAGGTGAGGTCAACTGTGCCATAGGTGAGGTCACCAGTGCCATAGGTGAGGTTACCTGTGCCATAGGTGAGGTCACCAGTGCCATAGGTGAGGTCAACTGTGCCATAGGTGAGGTCAACTGTGCCACAGGTGAGGTCACCTGTACAACAGGTGAGATCACCTGTGCTACAGGTGGGGGCACCTGTGCCACAGCTGAGGTTACCTGTGCCATAGGTGAGGTCACCTGTGCCATAGGTGAGGTCACCTGTGCCATAGGTGAGGTCAACTGTGCCATAGGTGAGGTAAACTGTGCCACAGGTGAGGTCACCTGTACAACAGGTGAGATCACCTGTGCTACAGGTGGGGGGCACCTGTGCCACAGCTGAGGTTACCTGTGCCATAGGTGAGGTCACCTGTGCCATAGGTGTGGTCAACTGTGCCATAGGTGAGGTCACCTGGGCCACAAGTGAGGTCACCTGTACCTCAAGGAGGTGGAATCATGGCCCAGGACTGCTTTTTCAGACCTATTTGCCCCCAATAGTAGTAGTAGTAATAATAATAATAGTGTCCCCATTGGACTCTTCCAATTGAGGACATCCACAAAGCTACTATTTGATATGGTCAAGCAGCCTACAGACAAGCGCATGTCTTGACCCAAAGTCACGGGGTGAAGCGGACCCATATTAGTTTAATCCAAAGTTTGATATTTTCTTCTTCCTTTCCTTCCTTCTGAGTTAATGAGGTAACGGGAACCTCGTTTTTCTCCTTTTCTGACCCACACAGAGTGTCTCCCCGAAACCCGAAAAATGACCCGGCAGCAATACCTGACCTGCGCCGTTCCGCTGGGCGCACTGATGGTGCTCTGCTTTGTTCAGGTCTACGCTTTCCGGCTCCGGCGAGTCATTGCCGCCTTCTATTTCCCCAAGGTGGGTGGCTTCTATAGACCCAAGAGAGGCCTACTTTCAGGTCCCAATAGATAAGACAGGAGAGTGATGGACCTGAGAGAGGCCTACCTTCAGGTCAAAATAAGTAGATAGATAAGATAAGATAAGATAAGATAAGATAAGATAGATGAAGATAATAGAGAGGTGGACCTAAGAGAGCCCTACCTCCAGGTCGCAATAGACAAACAGGTCGATAGAGAGATAGATAGAATGATGGACCTTAGAGAGACCTACCTTCAGGTCCAGATAGATAGATAGATAGATAGATAGATAGACAGACAGATAATAGATGGTAGATAGTGGTGGACCTATGAGAGGCCTACCTCCAGGTCCCGATAGATAGATAGATAGATAGATAGATGATAGATAGATAGATAGATAGACAGACAGACAGATAGATAGTAGAGTGATGGATCTAAAAGAGGCCTACCTCCAGGTCCCGATAGATAGATAGATAGATAGATAGATAGATAGATAGACAGACAGATAATAGAGTGATGGATCTAAAAGAGGCCTACCTTCAGGTCTCAATAGATAGATAGATAGATAGATAGATAGATAGATAGATAGATAGATAGATAGATAATAGAGTGATAGACCTATGAGAGGCCTACCTCCAGGTCCCAATAGATAGACAGATAGATAGACAGATAGATAGATAGATAGATAGACAGACAGACAGACAGATAGATAGTAGAGTGATGGATCTAAAAGAGGCCTACCTTCAGGTCTCAATAGATAGATAGATAGATAGATAGATAGATAGATAGATAGATAGATAGATAGATAATAGAGTGATGGACCTATGAGAGGCCTACCTCCAGGTCCCAATAGATAGATAGATAGATAGATAGATAGATAGATAGATAGATAGATAGATAGATAGATAGATAATAGAGTGATAGACCTATGAGATGCCTACCTCCAGGTCCCAATAGATAGATCGATCGATCAAGAGATAGAATGATGGACCTAAGAGAGGTCTACCTTCAGGTTTCCTTCCTTTCCTTTCCAGCGTGAGAAGAAGCGCATCCTCTTCCTCTACAACGAGATGCTGCGGCAGCGCATGTCCTTCATCGATGTGCAGCGCAAGCGCATCATCCTCCGCGCTCGCAAGAACCAGCGGCTGGTGAGTGAGTGGGTGGATTGGTGAGTGAGGCTGGGTCCTTGTGGCGCCTGGTCCCAGGGGTCAGTCTGCATGGCCTCTGGGACCCCCTTTCTCTTCCTCCTCTTCCTCCTCTTCTCGCAGGCCAAGCCACTGGTGGACCGCCTGGGCCGCTGGTTCCCCTCCTTGCGGCGCTTCATCATCCGGCGCTGCATTCTTTGCAACCTCCCCGAGTCGCCCCGCTCCTTCCTCTGCCCCAACGAGGACTGCGGGACCCTCTACTGCCGACTCTGCTGGCAGGACATGGGGTGCCGGTGCTTCGCCTGTGACCCCCAGGCCGTCCTCTCTGACGACGACAGCGACAGCGACACGTCCGGCGGTTATGCCGATTAGACCCATTAAAAGCCTGCCTTGCTTGATCTGGGCCTCCTTGGATTGGATATTGGGAGGGGGGGGTCTCCAGAGGACATCTAGTCCAACCTCCTAGAACCCATGGCCAAGGCACACCAATATAGCCAAGGCCCATCTAATGCTTTGGAGGCCCACAAAGGACCTAGAGGTCATCTAATCCAACTTAGCAAATGGTCCTAGAGATCATCCAGTCCAGCCTCATGGCAATAGAGTCCTAGAGGTCATCTAGTCTAACTTCCTGGCAAAAAGAACCTAGAGGTCATCTAGACCAACCTCCTGGTCCTCAAAGCCAAGACACACCAATATAGCCGGGGGGGGGGGGTCTCCAGAGGACATCTAGTCCAACCTCCTGGAACCCATGTCCAAGTCACACCAATATAGCCAAGGCCCATCTAATGCTTTGGAGGCCTACAAAGGACCTAGAGGTCATCTAGTCCAACCTCCTGGCAAAGGGTCCTAGAGGTCACTTCCTGGCAAAGAACCTACAGGTCATCTAGACCAACCTCCTGGCCTTCAAAGCCAAGGCACACCAATATAGCCAAGGCCCATCTAATGCTTTAGAGGCCCACAAAGTTGGACTCGAGGTCATCTAGTCCAGCTTAGCAATTGGTCCTAGAGGTCATCCAGTCCAGCCTCGTGGCAGAAGGGTCCTAGAGGTCATCTAGTCTAACTTCCTCAC